AAAGGTGAATAGCCGAGACAGAAGGAAAGATACCAATTGGTCAAAAAATCGAATTCATTTGTCTCTGACGAGTCGTTTTGTGGTGCTATGAATGGCAAGACTCATTTACGATGTCGAATGCTATGCAGGTAAGTGTCTGTGAATGTACCAAGTTCACGGTCCGACTCTGGAAATAATCATGCATACAATGTACCCCGGACAAGGTGCGTTCCTCTTGGTCTTCCTGCTAATATGACCAAGTTAAGAAAACAAGTTCAAGCAGCTTCCATGTAAATAAGCCTCACGTTTCCATGAATTTCGTCCGGCCCTGCTTGCCAAAAGGAGTTCTCATCCAGAATTGACTGCAGCTTCACCTTGCCTAAATCTTATAACGGCTCCAGCAGGAGTCGAACCCGGATAGAGCCGCAAATTATTGCTAAGGGTGCCGACTGGACCTAAACGAGGTTGATACTGCAGTTCCGTCTGGAAGATAATAGCTTTTTTGTGCAAATTCAATAATTCACTCTTAATCACTTTTACGATCTAGCCTGAATGGAATCCTTATTCTCGATTTATGGTCTTCTCGTCAAACATGCTACTTATTCCGAACTACACTTTCATCTAGGACCAGAGGAGCCTTCTGTAACTGAAAGCCTGTGAGGCTAATCGTTTCGAAGTGGATGTCTGTCGCCTATTCTGCTGGAATTTTAAATGCCATAATTCAACCTTCTTATTTTATTTATCAATAAGCGATTTTATTTGCACACAATTGAACTCAAACCAAGAAGTCGCTAACTCAAAAATAGATTCTGAGATAACCGCTTGGCATGAGCAAGAGCAATAGTAAAACACTCTCCAGAATGCTCTGTTGTAAAGAACATTTCGACCCTCACCATTAATCTTATATATTTTGATTCTATAAGAGCTCATATAAACTATCCATTACAGGAAAATATTCAAGAATCAGCGCGAGCACCAGCATCCGTTTATTCTCAGCTTTATGTTAAGTTATTTCGAATTGGAATTAGTTTACATCACAAAATATAAAAGGCTACAAATAGTAACTGAGTGTCGATAAATCACTTGAGCTAACATTGCTGGGTAGTCTTATTTCGTATAAAAGTTCGTCATCAAGTGATTCGCAGGTTGCCTGCACCATAAGACGATGGCTAACCTGCCTTGTTCAGCAGTCGTTTGGCTTTTGTGTTGACGCAGTTCAAAAGTTATCCTTCCTCGTTCCGGGTGAAAATGGGCTGAGCTTTCTGTTCTCCTATGAACAACATCGTCAGAGCTTAGACTTATCCTTACAAAAGTCTTAATTCTTCCTGACCTAATGTTGACTTTAGACAGTGGCAAAAATGAATTCCAGCTCTGGTGATGCAAGAAGGCTTCTCCCGGTTTACCTCAAAGCGAGGAAGGAGGTCTCATGGACTACGTCAACAGGAACTTCGAATTGAAGCCAAACGGCTGCCTAACAAAGTGAATCGGCCGTCGTCTTCCGATGAGATCAGTTAACAAATCTATTTATTATTCACTTTAACACTAAATGAAGTCATAAGGAATTATTTCGATAATGCAGCTGCAGTTATGTGTTACATTCAGGTATAGGCTCGAGAATGTAGGAGTACTGCCATGTCAAATTTGGTATTCTGTTTTATTTGTTTCAATCAACCGATGGATAGACTAAGACGTCTACTGACTACAATTCTTTTAGCCTCTCATGAGGCCGATTTGTACAGAATCAACAATATATTAAAGAAAGACTGGGATTCGATTAATCCCTTGGTGATATATTATGATATGACTCGCATTTAGAAAGAAAAGCTGGTTGGAAGGAATTCGTGAAATATTCTCACCAGATACCGAATTAGGATTGCTGCAAAGTAAAGACTGCTGGATTGCGCTAAGAAGTCCTCGGCTCACTGTTATTTGATCCCGAAGTATAGGGATCTAAGCTTTCGTCCATACCACTTCGACAGACATAATTAGAGCAAGAATACACACTTAACGAAATAGTGCAAAAAATCTACTAAACCTAAAGTATGATTTCCCTCTTTACTTCAAAATTATTTGAGGCAAGACTTTTCATAACCTCTTCTCTAGGTTTAGTATATTTTTTTTATTATTTGGTTACGTATTGATCCTTGCTATGATGTCTGTCACGGTGGTACAACAGAAAGCATAGCACAGATTCATCGGGGTCGCAGGACAGTGAGCCGAGGACTGCTTCGCACACACCAGCAATCATCACTCCACGGCAATCCTCCATCAGTTTCTGGTGACACCATTTAACGAACTCTTTCCAATAAACCTTTACTTGGAAATGGAAATTCAATTCTCACCAAGATGATATTTTATCAATTATACATAAAACAAAAATTAATAATAATATTCATTTAAAATACTTACATTACTTTTAAGAGTAGTATGGTTAGTAATTTAAAATTAAATGAAATATTTGCAGGTCATGGCATTTTTTTTTTCGGTGACTATATATAAAAGAATGATAATTTTTCTACCATCCCAAACATACGCAAATCAGCTATGCGAACTACCCCCGGAGCTAGGCTGGGAAAGCATAGGCTGTCAGCTGACACAGTTTGCATTAGCTGAAAATTGGCTAACACATCTGCCCGATGAATTCTGCCTTCACCTGAAAGACAAGCTGAGTGACCTGGATCTCACGAATAACCGGCTTAATGACCTGCCATTCGGTATGCAAAAATTCACTCAGATGCCGCTGGCCCATCAATACGATGGCTTGAAGAAGCGAGGCCTCTGGCTGACGGGCAACCCTATGGCCAAGATACCTAGAAGCGTTTGGCAGACAGATAGAACAGCAGCACTGTTTGAGTACTTAAAAGTAAGACCAAAATTCAAGACATAGTCTCTGAGACAGTTTAAACAGTATATAAAATCCATTTTATATTCTTATAAGACTTAGATATGAGTAAATCGCTTTATATACTGGGTAGGGAAGTATTCTTTGAGAAATCCACAGATGAAAGCAATCTGTTTTATTGTGTATTATATCACAATTATCAGGACGAAATTCATTATAGATATGGAAGACGGGCAGTTGAATTTTCCATTGCATGTTGGTGGATAGATTTTCTTCAATCAAGCGACTGTCTCTGTTGAAGCCTAAATTCCTTCATTTTTGATTATATAGCAAACGAACTTCTCATGTATTCTCTTCTCTTCTAACACCATATCCAG